AAACGTCTTTCACGATTATTGCATAAAATTTAAAGCCTCGGTCACACTTAAACGGATTGGACCAACGGACAAGAAACGGACGAGAACTGTCAGCGTCCGGTGATGTCCGTTTGTTTCCGTTGGACGTCCGTTTGTCATCCGTTAATATCCGTTCCATGTCCGGTGGTGTCCGGTTGAGCACACCGGACACCACCGGACATGGAACAGATATTAACGGATGAGAAACGGACGTCCAACGGAAACGAACGGACATCCCCCGGACATCACCGGACGCCGTCCGTTTCTCGTCCTTTAGTCCAATCTGGTGAAATGTGACCGGGGCTTAACCCACGGCTGTCTCAAGAAACCGGGAATGGTGATGGTATTAGGCGGGCAACGACGATCAACTTCTTACTTTTAATAAATGCAACAATGTAGTAGGGCCTCTGTCTCTGTCTGTATCACAATGTTACCTATGGCGTGATGTAAAATGTGAAAACTTCGATTTTTCAGAAAATTACTGGTGGGCCAAATCTTTGAGGCTGGTGGGCCATTTCGGGTCACTGGTGGGCCATTTGGCCCACCAGTTAACATGTTAGCCGAGGCCCTGTTTGCGATGTAGGCAGTGTACACGCATCACATCTCTGGCTGCGACTGGTCTAAGATTGCCGTTTCGTTGGCCGTTTCTTCATTAGTTGTGGGCTGCCGATGCTGCTAATGTGCGGCCCTTGGTCTTATGGCCCGGTAGGCCCCTATCGATTGGTCACGACATGGACCATGAGCAGATTTAAGTCATCATTGACGAAAAACATAATTTTTACGAATTCGTATTTAATAGTTTAAAGCGGAGTAACATAAAAGATGCCGAAAAGTTGATCGCACAACCTGTGAAATGCGTAGAATCACTCTTGGAATCACTCAGCTCCCCTCCCCAGAACTTTCCAACCACAGTAACTGAGCCCGGGGGTCCGAGGGCGGCGGCGGCGGCCCCCGAGACCGGCCCGGCGCGGTGCGTCGGCAGACCGTTCCGTTCCCTCGGGACGGACCGATGGCCAACGCCAGCGTGCAAACCGAATTCCTCGCCGGCCAAGCGTTGCAAGAAGCTGGAGCGATTTGCAAACATTGTCAGAGGCAGGTTGGCAGTGATGTAGCTGGTTCGTCTCAGAGATCGGCGATGTGTCTTGGCAGACCTCCGCTATGACCGACAGGAACCGCTATCATTGGCCGTGCGGTTTTAGTGCTGGCAAACCGCTGAAATCGTTTGATGTGTTGTGTGCTATTGCATGCGTAAATACTGCGGTTTCAGCAGCTCTTACTCGTAGATTCTTTTTTTCCACTTCCCAAGCATTATGACTTTTGCATAATGCATAACCAAGTCCGTATAGTTTCTCTCTCTTGTATTGTATTCGAGTGTAAATGACGATAGAATTATAAATCTTCATCTTCGCTTGAATGTATTATGTAATTCAACATATATTTAAGTGCGATACTATAGGAAACGAGAAATATTAGAATGTTCGCTGAATCTGGGATATTACATATTGATATATTGAACTGAATTTGCTTGCGAACATTGTTTTATTTCACGCTCCGAATAATCGTGCTGGGTGTATTGTATCGTTCAATATGTACATAGTGCATTCAGCATCGAACACTATCATTCACCGATATTATATTACTTATCACACTGGCTTGATCTTCTTAATTTGTGTGCGTGCAGAGTGCACTATTCTTTTATAGACTGTGGCATTGTTACGAGCGAGCGAGCGCAGCGAGCGAAGTGAGTCTTTTCAATATAACGGAAAAATCTCAGTATGAGCGGCCCGGCCCGGCCCGGCCCGGCCCGGCCTGTAACGCTTTTGAGAGGCTTATATCTCAGCAACCGCTGGACTGATTGGCCTGCGGTCTTTTTTGTTGGGTAGCCCCATCCCTTCTACCCCGTAATTGACTACTTTTGATACATCTCAGTGACCGTCGTGGCACGTGCCACGTGAAAAGTCAAGGGTGTTCAAGCTGTTTTGCAAAAGTAGTGATTTTGAGAGGCTCATATCTCAGCAGCCGCTTGGGCGATTGACTTGCGGTAATTTTTGTAGGGTAGCAGCATCCCTTCTACCCAAAATAGGATACACTCGATGCATGTAGGTCACCCCCAGTGCACGTGCAAAATACAATAATAAGAGGTGCCAAATTTGTTCCCATTTCAGTAACTCGGTAATTACTGGGGCGATTTCGCTGAAACTTGGCATACAGGTAGGCACCCACCAGGCAATGCATTCCCATGTGTTGCGGTTAGGGTGCTACTGCACGTGCGCACGTGCAGGGGGCGTTTCCAGATCTCGAGAACGGCTGGGCCGATTGCGTTCAAATTTGGTACACGGTTGGGACCAGTTAGTAGGGTGCCGTGCAAAAGCCATTTTGGACCCCGTTTGCACGTGCACACGTGCAGAATGCCGCTTCCAGATCTCAGGAACGGCTGGGCCGATTGCGTTCAAATTTGGCACACCGCTAGCGACCGGTTAGAAGGGTGCTTTGCGCAAGCCCGTTGGAAGAACCTTCTCGCCCTTCCGCACGTGCAGGGCTCATTATCTCGCTCGCTCGTTCTTCGCCCAAAAGGCGTTTTACTGGTATAATAAAGGCGTTACTGGTACTGGTCCCTATGCGGCTACCACCACTGCACACTCTTCCACATCGTCAGCAACTGCAGATACTCGTTGATGACCGGCCGATACAACTGGCGTCACGATATGGTCCTTCGCAGACTCATCGAAATCATTCGCCCGGTGCTAGAAAAGACGGACGCACCTAAAAAAGGTACCCATTTCAAATCTAGCAGCGGAACCGAATATTACGTCCCCCCTCTGCAGCGCAACACTGAGCGAGGAAAACCGGCGGCAGACGACTGGCAGCTAATCTGGGATGAAGAGCACGACCCATACGTCTTCCCTCCCCAGATTGCCAGCACCAATGCACGTCCCGACATCGTCATCTGGTCCACTGCAACAAAGACATGCATTGTGGCTGAGCTCACTGTCTGCTGGGAAGAAAACTTTTACCAAGCTCACGAGCGCAAGCAGGGGAAGAAGGACTATATCGACCTAATCAACACAGGCAGGAAGAATGGCTGGCATATGCACTACTTTGCAGTGGAAGTTGGAGCTCGAGGGGTCACATCGGACAGCCTGTTCTCATTCTTCAGATACATGGGACTATCCCGCAGAAAATCTCTCAAGGAAGCCGACACCGTTGGTAGGACAAGCCTCCATGCCTCTTATACGCTATGGCTATCGAGAAATCAGCAGAAGTTCAGCAGATGGACGCTAGTTGAGAAACCGCTCTTCACCATGAGACCTGAAATTCCGCCACAGAAAGACGCAGAGCCGGAGAATAGGAGCCCTGAGCCCCCCGCTCCCAGCGCAAACCGGACACATGCGAGGCCGACCATTTTCAATTACACCAGGGCAAGGAAAACACAACCTGAACCACAATCAGGTGCACGCACTCCCTGTGGTTTAAACAACCTAGGCAACACGTGCTTCATCAACTCCATCGCCCAGTGTCTCATGGTAACTGATAGCCTCATTCCATTCGCCTCCACGGAGATAAGAAATGCTTTATCGAGCCTCAGGGCCACAACCAAAATGGTCACCCGCCCCACAGAACTCGTCAAAGCTATTGCTCAGCTCAATCCGTCCCTGACGACAGGTCAACAGCAGGACGTGGCCGAAACGCTGGAAACCATGCTATCTTGCCAAGCCGACAGCGCCAATGTAGGCATAGGTGAAATCACTGATACCATTAAATGTACCGCGTGCGGCTCCACCCTGGAGACGCCCAGGCCGCTCATTCCACCCATTCTTCGCGTTCCAATATCGGCACCGTCTCTCCAGGAATGCATATCAAATTCACTCGCCCCACAGCCGCTCGAGGGACGGATATGTTCCCAGTGCCATGCTCACTCCAGTGAAATATCCACACAAATTCTCGTTGCTCCCGATGCTGTCTGCATACAGCTCCTCCGTTTTGATCACGGCACTAACACTTCTAAAAATACGTCAAACGTGTCGCTCGCCCCTACTGTTCAGTTAAACGGCGTTACCTGGTACATTACGGGGATTATAAATCACGTAGGCACACTACATCAAGGACATTATACTTCACTTGTAAAATCGACTCACCGTTGGTACCGCTGCAATGACTCCAAAGTATCAGAAGCGTCTGAAGGGACAGCCCTCAGCTCAAGCACAAAGTCGGCCTACTTGGTTTTCTTAAGCAAATCTTGAAATGTCGGGCATGTCATTCTGGTGGGGGTGACGGTTGGAGCTCCAAAAAGGCCTTTAACCCCACACCGAGGTCCGCAGTCCTCGGCACCAGTATGCCATCCTCGACATTTCGAGCATTTGCCTCATTTACTGTGGACCAAAAACATCAGGTGTGCGTCCTGAAAACGGATTTAGGCACCATTTGGTCCACCTGAGGACATATCCTCATCACCATGTATATGATGCATATGACCAAGATGTGAAGCGTCCCAGTCACCTCTAGCTCTATGTGAACCTGCTTATCTTGTCCGACGGATGAATTCGTCTCAAGTGGCGCGTTTATGTGATACGGCTACGGAATTTCAAACGTTTGGTCTCGACATTGTGAGAATGTTAAACCCGTGTGCGGCCCCAATGTCTGTGTTGCATCCTTTTCTGTCCTTTTTATCAGCAGCAGTAATTGGTGTTAGTCAGTTCGGCTCATTAATGTCTGTAGAAACGCCTAGGGTGCTGAGAGATAACCAATGCTGTGTAGCAGTTCTCGTGCAATTTGTTTGTTTTACAGAAATACCTTTTCCATGTGAAAAAAAATCTTAGCTGTTATTGGCAATATCAATAAACCTCGTGTTATCATGTTTTTCCATTTCGGTATTATGAGTTTGATGGGGTTTTGATGGGAGATTCTCTGACAGTTGTGACACTCTCTTTGTCCGTGGCTGATACGTTTCCGTAAGTTAACCGTCTCCCCAACTCTGTCCACAGCCGTCCGGGGGTGAGCTGATTCGGGAGCACGCCGACTACAACTCCGTCTCCCCTGTGGAGGAGTAGGGACGCCGCTCACTAGTCCACCGTCCGCCTGTTCATCGGACCGCCGCTGCCGGCTGTAGGAGTTGTCCGGGAGCGCTGGCTGGCTGAAGAAGGTGCGTCCCAGGTCACTGGGATGCAGCGGGTGCGGTCCGAGTGTGCGGGAGGCCGCGGTCCGGCGGCTCCGGCTCTGAATACCGCAGCTCGGCCGTCCCGTGGGTGCCGGCGGGCCTGGCCAGGTCGACCGTCTCGGTATTAAGGCAGTGTCGGAGAGCCGGCGCGGTGAGAGGCCGTCCGCTCCGTCCGCGCTGCGCCCCTCCCGTCCCCGATGTGCGCCGGACGCCGTTTGACCGACCTACGGAAACGCCTGTTCAAATGTTTACGGCCGCTACAAGCGCTGTGTCGGTCACACTCCAAAACGGACACCGCCCAATGGCCACTCATCGCCAAACAATGTCAGACAGCTGCTGCGCTCTGAACCTTTTTTTAGATAATTTGTGCACCGTTAGCCTTTTTACCCACTTATATATCATAATTTTGGCTGATTTACGTATGAATTGCTATTTAGATACTTAATTTTGTATATTTTTCTCCTATTCATGGTGAAGCATTATGAAAAGATGGGACTTACTGATGTATTACAAGGAATTTTGATAAGTTTTGCCCGCGCACATGCTTCAGAACGGGTTCAAAGGGCAAATTAGAGGCAGTGTGTGCTACAGTAGAATTTTTATGACACGAGGTGGTGTTTCAACGTGTTCAGGTCGCTCATTGTATGGTGGCAGGGCGTACCAACTTCTTTGGTAATGTTTAACATTGGTATCCATTGACCTTAGTACCATTTAATATTATAACTATCTAGTTCAAACAATGTTGTGTGATGTTTGTACTCACCGGTGGGGGCTGGTGTATTGCGTGACTCGTATATGCCCGATATCTACTGGCTGAAGCCTGAAGCAGTTTATTTTTCTCATGATACAAACGCGCAGCGAGCGCTTTGTATTCATAGAACACTTCTCTTGGTTTTGGTTATGTTCTGTCGTTACTTAACTTTTCGAGACAAGGTGCAAAATTTCACATCGCTCAATTTTTTTTCTGGTCGTCACATGGATATATTTTTAGATGAGCCAAGTTGTAAACATTTGTACCCGTACTTTATTCTGGTTGCAGGTAGAGCGTAGGTAGCTCAGAGAAAGTGATACAAACGCGCAGCGAGCGCTTTGTATTCATAGAACACTTCTCTTGGTTTTGGTTATGTTCTGTCGTTACTTAACTTTTCGAGACAAAGTGCAAAATTTCACATCGCTCAATTTTTTCTGGTCGTCACATGGATATATTTTTAGATGAGCCAAGTTGTAAACATTTTTATCTGTACTTTACTCTGGTTGCAGGTAGAGCGTAGGTAGCTCAAACAGCGAAAGTTGTGCTTGCATTATTCAGTTATCAAAAGTATAATTGAAAATCAGGCGTAGTTGTTCGTAGGATCTCACGATTTACCCTGTCCGCACGTTCGGAGTGTGATCATAAGATATTTTTACGAGCGAGCGAGCGCAGCGAGCGAAGCGAAGTCTTTTCAATATAAGGGAAAAATCTCAGTATGAGCGGCCCGGCCCGGCCCGGCCCGGCCCGGCCCGGCCCGGCCCGGCCCGGCCTGTAACGCTTTTGAGAGGCTTATATCTCAGCAACCGCTGGACCGATTGCCCTGCGGTCTTTTTTGCTGGGTAGCCCCATCCCTTCTACCCCGTAATTGACTACTTTTGATACATCTCAGTGACCGTCGTGGCACGTGCCACGTGAAAAGTCAAGGGTGTTCAAGCAGTTTTGCAAAAGTAGTGATTTTGAGAGGCCCATATCTCAGCAGCGGCTTGAGCGATTGTCTTGCGGTAATTTTTATAGGGTAGCTGCATCCCTTCTACCAAAGGTCGGATACTCTTGATCTATGTGAGTGACCCCCAGTGCACGTGCAAAATACAACAATAAGAGGTGTCAAATTTGTTCCCATTTCAATAACTCGCTAATTACTGGGGCGATTTCGCTGAAACTTGGCATACAGGTAGGCACCCACCAGGCAATGCATTCCCATGTGTTGCGGTTAGGGTGCTACTGCACGTGCGCACGTGCAGGGGGCGCTTCCAGATCTCGAGAACGGCTGGGCCGATTGCGCTCAAATTTGGTACACGGTTGGGGACCGGTTAGGAGGGTGCCGTGCAAAAGTCAGTTTGGACCCCGTTTGCACGTGCGCACGTGCAGAACGCCGCTTTCAGATCTCAGGAACGGCTGGGCCGATTGCGTTCAAATTTGGCACATCGCTAGCGACCGGTTAGAAGGGTGCTTTGCACAAGTCCGTTGGAAGTACCCTCTCGCCCTTCCGCACGTGCAGGGCTCACTATCTCGCTCGCTCGTCCTTCGCCCAAAAGGCGTTTTACTGGTTGTAGAGATTAGTGCCCACTGCAGTCGTAAACCTTTTCGCCTACCTACAGTAGGCTGTTTTCCGACATCTTTCTCAGAGTTTGTACCGTACTCTCTTGTGCTAGTGGATGGCGTTCGTGGTTACGAGCGAGCGAGCGCAGCGAGCGAAGTGAGTCTTTTCAATATAACGGAAAAATCTCAGTATGAGCGGCCCGGCCCGGCCCGGCCTGTAACGCTTTTGAGAGGCTTATATCTCAGCAACCGCTGGACCGATTGGCCTGCGGTCTTTTTTGTTGGGTAGCCCCATCCCTTCTACCCCGTAATTGACTACTTTTGATGCATCTCAGTGACCGTCGTGGCACGTGCCACGTGAAAAGTCAAGGGTGTTCAAGCTGTTTTGCAAAAGTAGTGATTTTGAGAGGCTCATATCTCAGCAGCCGCTTGGGCGATTGACTTGCGGTAATTTTTGTAGGGTAGCAGCATCCCTTCTACCCAAAATAGGATGCTCTCGATGCATATGGGTCATCCCCAGTGCACGTGCAAAATACAACAATAAGAGGTGTCAAATTTGTTCCCATTTCAGTAACTCTGTAATTACTGGGGCGATTTCGCTGAAACTTGGCATACAGGTAGGCACCCACCAGGCAATGCATTCCCATGTGTTGCGGTTAGGGTGCTACTGCACGTGCGCACGTGCAGGGGGCGTTTCCAGATCTCGAGAACGGCTGGGCCGATTGCGCTCAAATTTGGTACACGGTTGGGGACCAGTTAGAAGGGTGCCGTGCAAAAGTCATTTTGGACCCCGTTTGCACGTGCGCACGCGCAGAATGCCGCTTCCAGATCTCAGGAACGGTTGGACCGATTGCGTTCAAATTTGGCACACCGCTAGCGACCGGTTAGAAGGGTGCTTTGCGCAAGCCCGTTGGAAGCACCCTCTCGCCCTTCCGCACGTGCAGGGCTCACTATCTCGCTCGCTCGTTCTTCGCCCAAAAGGCGTTTTACTGGTTATATAAATTCGCGTATTACATGAAACCAAATACATACATGGTTGTTTTATCTGTGTTTTGTTCTGGAGTAAGTAACTGCTCACTGACATTTGATGAAACAATAGGTATAGTCCCGCACTGGTTCGTGCGTCCCAGCAAACATGCCCACATGGGTCCCATATGGGGTGAACATGGGCCAGATGGGCCCACGTGGGACATGGGCTACAGATGGGCTACCCATATGGGCCCCATATGGGATCAAGATGGGCCAAACGCATGTGGGCTGGAGATGGGCATCCCATGTGGGTCCCATATGGGGTGAACATGGGCCAGATGGGCCCACGTGGGACATGGGCTACAGATGGGCTACCCATATGGGTCCCATGTGGGCGCCGCGTGGGTCCCATATGGGGCCTACGTGGGCTGGCCCATATGGGTCCCACGTGTCACCCACTGCCATTCCCATGTGGGACCCATATGGAAGAGGTGGGGGGCCCATGTGGGCCCCATATGGGAACCATGTGGGCATGTTTGCTGGGGTGGTTTGACACACGAACGAAGAGTAGCTTTGAGAGTAACCAACGCTCCCTTGAATACTTGGATTTCCACGGGGGGGGGGGAGGAGGGACGGTGAACATCTCCCTTTTCTAGCTCGGTTCACGGGTCACGTAGTGACACGGTAGGCGGGTTCGAAAGAGCGGCAAAGTCACGAATAAATAACTCCAGTCATCCTTCTCGGCAGGTCAAAGGCAGGGTATATTGAGTGAAGTCAAAGGCCACGTTACCAAAGGTCAGCAAAGATCAAATTTCGCCCATTTAGACAATCTTCTATCAATTGGTTCGTAACTCGGCAACCAATAAAGCTGCGGCACTTGGATAAAAATACAATAGCTCCTTTAAAGCTCTTTCGGGTTAATTTCCTCATATTTAAGTTGAGGTCAACGATTCAGCCTCCAGAGGGTGACACTGTCGAAACTGACATCTTTGCGGAAAATGTTTCCTCTGTTTTTACTCACATCTTGCACAGGAGCGGTTTTAGGGCGGGACATGAAGACGTGTCCCGTGACGCCTTGTTGCGTTACGGTCGATTAGCTGGCACCTCTCCGCTATGGTGTGGATTGGTGATGTCACATGACCAAAGACCTGTGCTGTCTGTCATTTTGTGTCCGTTTTAGGATGGCAAAATATAATGCGCGCAAGCACGTTCGAAAGCAAAATAATTTTTCCTTACTCTGTTGATGTGATGATTCATTCATTAGGCACATCGTCAATCGTTATTGACCATTCGAAGTTAATCGTCATCGTCATCCTTTTGTGGTGCCAAGTGATGCCTCTTCTGATGCTCTGTGATGCCCAGTGCAACCTTTGACGCCCGCTGGCGCCTGGAGCGTTCCTGTCTGAGGTAGCAGCGCCTGCGGCGGCCTGGTCTGGCGGGCAGCTGTCGCTGCGGCCTGCTGAGACCGGCCAGCACTCAGCCGTGCTGCCTGTCCGCCTCCAGAGCTGTGCTGGACGCATTAGCAGCCGTCTAACATAAACAGTGGCGGCCGGCCGGCCGGGCCGGGTGGCCGGAGGCCGTCGCGGCGGCTCAGTAGAGGCCGGCGCAGCCGCGGACGGCGGCCGCTCCCCCTGCGCGCGCCGCCCGCCGGCCGCCATGCCGCCCTCGACGGCGCTGCCGCTGCTGCTGCTGCTGCTGGCGGCCGGGGCCAGCGCCAAGGCACAGGAGACACAAGACTACTACGACGAAGATTACTATGGCGGTAAGTGGCCGCCGGCGGTCGGTCGGTCCGTGCGCGCGGAGGGAGGGCCGGGCGGCTTACTCCCACTCCGGAGGAACCCCGAGTGACGGTCCCGATGACACAAGCCGCAAACCATTCAAAGTTAACCATAAACAACCCTTTCTGTAGACGTAAACCACCTTGAAACAGCATTCTTTCACTTGATGAACGAAATCGGGCAACTTAAGTGGGCTCATTATTTGTACCGCACCAGCAAAGCTCAACTCAGGGAGCCTCGTGAGTTCTCGAACAAATGCAGTGAATGTCAGCTCAGCTGTCATCCACACCGATTTAACCTCAATGCACAACAGAAAGAGACGCTAACGGTACAAACTGTCATTGAACGAGCGAAGATAAAGGAGGGCTCTGTCCTTTGCATCACCGAAATCCAGCTAATTTTGCTTTATAATGACCTGGGCGGTCATATAAATGTAAACGTTATCGGCGGCAATACATTTTAACCCGGCAGTTGCTGGGGTATTTCGCCACCCACCGTTTGCTGGGGGGGGGGGGGGGGGCGTTAAACGCCCCCAGCCGATAAC